ATGGTACTTTTCCTACGTTAATGTGTGAAATTATGTCTAAGTCTTCTTTTCCCAACTTCTCAAGTAAACTAACTTCTCTAAAAAAAAATCACCTTTTTTTTTGCTTTATCAGGCTTTGGCCTCCACTGAAGTTGCTGAATGCTTTGAGTAAATTCCAACTAATAAGGTTTTCAACCCCATGAGCATTTGTATTTCACTTTGAATTAATCTTTGTCAGATGAGCTCCAGGCATCACTAAAGCAGAGCGAACTGGTGGCATAAAACTTCAAGTTCAGTTCCTTGCGCCATTGGCCATGACAATACTGTAATAACTAAACAGAGAATTTCCCTATCTTCAGAAGATCCCACACTACCACTGTGGAACAAATTCCTACTAATTAAAAATTGTTTCATGGGAAGGGTAGAAGATGATGTGGAGTATTTAAATATTTTGAAGGATATTTAATTGAATTTCTTTCAACAAGCATTCAGCGCTCAGACAATAGTCCAGATGGAACTGTGCAATTTATTTTAAGACTGACATGCTGTACAGTCACATACATCTGTAGATAATGGATAAAACCAAAAGAGAAAATGCTAAGTGAAACTAAATATGAACAGAAGTATAACAGACTTCCCCAGTTTTCATTGTGAAATGAAAAGAAACAAAAAAGGAAACAACAGGTACTGAAGAGAATAAATCAAATAATTAACATGGTCTTATTTTATAATTAGAAGATTCAAGTTACACTAGTGAAAACGTATTTCTGAAATGGTGTCCTCTTCAGTAGAAGATACAGGATATATTTTGTTACCTTTTGCAATCTCCAAGAGAAAGTATTTTACGGTGAAAAACTCGGACCTGTTTTCCTCTGATTTCAGTATGTTGTCTTCAGTTAAAACACTAATGTGTGTCATGGTGCACACAACACCAGCTGCTCCCACTTCTTAAACACATCTCCATGCAACCCCACGCAAGCGAACTGAGCTTTCACACTGTAATTTCATTTTATAATAATGATTATACCCTTTAGCTTACCAAGAGCAATTACGCCTGTCTTGATGAGCAAAACGACTACATTCTGTAGTCTCAACCTTGATGAGAATCCCTGCCAAAACACAAGCTAACATATTTGTTTGCACATTAACTGGCCAGGTTTTAACCTCGGCTTCTAACAGCCCTCATGAAAGAGACCAGGGTAAGATGTCCAGCATTTCTCAATTCTTCAAACTCAAAGCATGCTATAGTTCCTGACAAAGGCTTTTTGTTTCAAAAAGTTCACCACATACTGAAGATAAACAAGACAAAACAAAGGATTATTAATCTTCCTGAAAATAACAATGTTTGACAAGAAAAATAAGCTCAGAAACAATGCTCAGCCCAATGTTACATTGACTTGGTCTCTTGCTTCTGCAGACTTCTATCTGGGCAATTATTCTTCATTTAAGATGTTTTCTCATGTTCCCTGAAGTTTGCTTTAATAAGTTGCTATTTAATAGCATTTAGACCAAGAAAAGCAAAATAATTTGTATTTTATAGTGAGCTGCAAGCCACTCAATACGATTCATTATAGCACAGATTGTCTTAAGAGATGCTTCGCATCAGCCCTGTGTTATTCTAGTGTTGAATGCAATTCATGTACCCAACAAATAATTACGCAAAAGCACATTATAGCAGTACTTTACTGACTAGCACAATGCAGTTAGAAGAAATACATGGTATCTTGCAACCCAATACCCAGGAGGTTGTAATTTACAGCCCATCAATACTGAACGACTTTCTACATAAGCACTGATCTTTAGTATGTGTGCATGAGTAATAGCTACATTTCTCACACAGATAGCTCTAACTTTAGAAGATTTATTTTTTGTTTCCTCCCCTCTGGAATAATTCATAAAATAAAGTGTACATTTACCCAAAGATTTCTTTAACATTAAATATCCCAAGACTCTGGAATTTAAAACTAATACGGTGAACTGGCTTCATCAAGTATTTTAAACTGCTACCTAATATACAACTGCCTTTCACAAGAAGTACTGATTTAGGATAAGCCATCGCAAGTTGCAACGAGGGACATTCTGGCTAGAAACGGGACAAAAAAGTTCACAGCAAGGGTGGTGAAATACAGGACACCTAGCAAGGCTGCAAAATATCCATCCTTGGAGATACGCAAAACTCAGATGGAGCCCTGAGCGACCTGATCTCACTTGGAAATTGTGGCCTTGCTTTAAGCAGGGGTTTGACAAGATGACTTCCTAGATTATTCTGTAATTGTATAACAATGTAGTGGACACCTATAGGCACATGGGAAGTATATCCACACCAGATGTCTTACTATCAGCTTGCTGCTTTTTCATCTTACAGAAAGAGAACAGAACGTAATAGATACAGACATAAGATCACTGTACTTGAGGTATGACGGACTGCACAGCCTTAAAAGGATGACACCCATCGCTTTGTTCAGTTTAACAGTGAGCTCAACTCTCACTGTTATTGAACTACAACCACTGTAGGAGCATATTCTTCCCCTCAGTCCTTCTGGATATATAGCTTGCCCTGAAAGCAAGAAGTGGCAGAGAACCCATGCTGGAAATGTGCCTGCTGACCATCATGCAAGCTCAGCTTTGGAATGCTTTCAGCCACCTAAAGCAGAGCAAGTGATTCGGGGAAAGAAGTTTGAGAATCAAAGGCAAGGAAGGGGCCACATGATAAAGTCAAGCGGTTGCATCACACAGCTGGACTGGAAATTTCCATCTGTGCTCCCAAGGCAGCTTGTATGTTTTTCAACAGAGCAGAAGACACAACACATACAACACTTGGGCAGATTTTGAATAAGATTTACCAGACCAAGAAGCCACATCATGTGGAGAAAACACCTATTTTTAATTCAGAGAGCACCACCATCTCCTGCAGAGAAGAGAGAAACTGCTGAATGGGCAATGAGTGTTAACTTGCTGCTTTGAAAAGCTGCATCACCCAGGTTGATACATTCCTACCAGCTCATTTCACTTTTAAGTTGGGAGAAAAATAAAAAATTTTAAAAATCTAGCACATCATCAATGGACAGTCGCCAACTCCCCCAACAGCTACAACCACCAGGTCTCTCTCTCATCTCAGCTGAGTGCTATAACCATCAATCCTCTCCATTTTCACTCTCCCAGAGTCAGGTCTCCTCTTGCCTGTTAGTCTTCTGGCCTTTTGCCAGATTTCTGGTTTTGCTTTCCTGGATACACTAAGGCCCAGCTTAAGAACTGTGATGGAGCATGCTCCCTGACAGGACACTGAAATCCTTGGCAGGTAGACTGTAGGTTCAGATACAGATAAGCTGCAGAGAACTTAAATACAGAGCTTTCACACTTGGAACCAAGGACTCTAGCTTCCACATGATCATGCCAAAGGTGGGCATCTACTATATTGCCATTAGTTCTGGTCAGAAAAGGCACTGGGGTTTGACAAGAGCACACAACTACAACCTGAAATAGGAGATTTAAACTGTTCCTGAAGGCTGTCACAGATGCCTGCCTAAGCATGCCTACTCGTACAGCCCAAATTAGCATTTATCTGTCTCCACTTGCAATAGAGGACCTCCAGCAGAAGCACCTGATCATCAGCCCTGGTGACACAAAGTTGATCAACAAACAAAACTAAAACCAGAGAAGTTTCATTCAAGGCATCTTTAAAAAATGAACAGAAAGGAGAGAAATTAATTCTAAATCTTTATTAAAGTTCTGAACTCACTTGGAATAATGAATGTCTATATTCCCTCAAGCAATTGTGCTATTCATGGTGACAGTGAGTGAAGAACTCTGAGCAAGCTCCTCCTGATCCAGTACTAATTTAACTCATCTTTAAATAATTTCCCGAAGAGTTAAGTGCAACTCAAATGTTGTATCAGTAATGTAAGAGACAAAAATCTGAATATTCTTTCGTAAGCAAATCCAAAACTAAGAGAAAACTCAAATCAAAGCATGGGTTCTCAGACTGACTGCTTGAGAGCTTTTCTTCCTCAATCTCAGAAACACAGATGTAAGATACTATCAAAACAAACTAAACTTATTTCAAGAAACTATTTCCCATAACCTAATTCAAAATTTTAAGCAAATCTCAAAAGAGAGGAATATGTCCTCTGTGAAATGTTCTACTGACTTTGAAAAAAATTTTGTATAAATTAGCACACATGAGCAGCAATTTCTCATGAATGTTAATAACACGAAACTAAATCTAATAAATATGAAGGGAGAAAAAAAATTGCAAGCAACATAGTTATTGCTTATCTGGAAGAAATGTAAGTTAGGGTAAATAGGAATTTTATTTTGTCCTGGTGACACAGCAGCAGTAACACTTTCAAAGTTCCATCACCAACATCCCATTGACTGCCAGTACAGTTTAGGCCCTGAAGCGATTCTATTGCTTTTGTAAATAAAGACGAGGTTATTTCCAAAAGGTTACCAAGAGTAGCTACTTTTCTTTCCTTTATTTAAAGGAACCATACACTGTGCAGTTAACTATAGGTGTCCCAAAAGTCTTCATGCTGTATCCATCCCACCACTACCTCAAGTCCACTATCTGAGCCTAACAGTATGATTGGAAGTTCACTGAAACAAGAAGCATCTCTAGTATTTATTTGAATGGTGCCTAGTAAACACTTTCAGGTTGTGAGAAATACATTGTAATTATTGCATTACCAAGCTGGGGAAAAAATTCCACCAGTTAACAAAAAACAGTTTAAAATGATTATAGGTATTAACAGTTGATGGATACACATGCTTTCTGTAGGTGGCTCTTTACCATAAAAAAAAAAATTAAGTGCAAGACCTTCAAATAACTACCAAGTCTTCCTTCCTGAGGAACTATATTAATATTAGAACTTCAACATCTCTTTTTAGACAATTTTAAGGTGTCTGAATCCAGCTAATTAGCTGGCACAAATATGAAGAGAACAACTGACAGCCAATTCAACAGTACATTGGAAAGAGATACATGACTCTACATCACTGACAACATATTGAAATTTAAATACCTCTTTATTGTCCCTGGAAGATCCAGACTGAATGGGATTTGATATGAAGATGCTAAAGTGTCATCCACAGCCTTGCTTATTTCTTGTAGTTCTCTCAAAGAAATGCATCCAAGTAAAGCAGTCAGTTCACAGTCCTGTGACTGAATAAGCCTATCTTGTTCTTCAATTTCTCTTCTTAGCTGTTGATCTTTTGCTTCTAATATGGCCAGTCTTGCTCGGAGGTCCTCAATTTCTTTCTGCATAGAACACAAACCTGAGTTTATTATGAACCCTGTTAAAGAAACCTCTCTGCCCCTATAAAAACGCAGTACAAGTCTCAGAAGTAGCATGAATTCAGGTTGTCCAACTTAGCACAACATTAAATGAGAAGACATTCTTTTGTTGACACACAAAAATTCTTATGCCTGTTGTATTTAGAAACTCTAGTGCTTTCACAGTCTGAAACTCCCCATCTCCCTTTCATCACCAAATTTCAGGTTCCTCTTCCAACACCATCAGTCACCTTTTACCTTTAAAAATGTATGGATATATCCCAAGTTAAAAACTTCCCAAGAAACCCCAAAATCTCAGTTCAACCATAACAACAGAATCTTGCTACAGACTGGCAGCTAAAGAGATCAACCATTTATCTGTCCTGCAATGGTTCCTTTAGGCTTCAAATCCAACATCAGGCACAGGATGCAAGTGGTGAATCACTGACTGCCTCTGGCCAGTCCTTTTGATTATTAATATTTAATTTTAATTAAAGGCACAAAATCCCTCCCTTGACTTAAAATGACCAGAGATTCAAGCTCAGTTGCATTCATCTTGCCAGAAATTCAAACCCTGCGCATTATGATCTGACGTTTCTTGCAAGAACATGTTCTAATTTTTCCTTGAAAATCCAAGAGATAGCTTGCAACCAAGCAAGGAGCACTTCAGGAAGGAGTCTGGGTTGCTGAGTTAATAAAGGTATTTCATATATGGCCCTTGGCTCATTTGTCCCAGAATTTAAAAAGTGAGTTTAAAAAAGAAAAAAAAAAAAAGTCAAAGGAGAACTACTTGCTATCAAAGAATTTGAATGTCACACTGCAGAAGAGGAGACTGAGGGGGGACCTCATTAATGTTTATAAATATGTAAAGGGTGACTGTCATGAGGATGGTGTAGGCTCTTCTCAGTGGCATCCAATGATAGGACAAGGGGAAATGGATATAAGCTGGAACACAGGAGGGTCCGCTTAAACATGAGGAAGAACTTCTTCCCAGTAAGGGTAACAGAACACTGGAACAGACTGCCCAGACAGGTTGCGGAGTCTCCTTCTCTGGAGATGTTCAAAACCTGCCTGGATGCGTTCTTGTGTGATCTGATCTAGGTGGTCCTGCTCCGGCAGGGGGATTGGACTAGATGATCCTTTGGGGTCCCTTCCAATCCCTAACATTCTGTGATTCTGTGAATTTGATTCTATTTCTACATTTCTTGAAGTCTCTATGAAACTTTGCAAGCCACTTAACTATTACCTCAACACACAGCCACAGATTGAATGTTCACCATTTTCTATATAACCAACAAGAGAGGTCTCTGAAGTGGTAGCTATAGACTCTCAACAGAAATCAAAGCTCGTAATTCCATGTTATGACCATATTCAGTCCAGCTAAAAAGAAAAATGAAGAAAAAAACCCTACAAGTTTTTTCTGGTAAATAGCTAGGCATTACAAACTGACATTAGAAACAACCATATAGCTTTTTATGGTAATTCAGTTCTTCATTCTCTATCTGTAAAACAGCAATAAGAATATCTCTTCATCCAAAGCATTGTTACAGAGATAAAATTAAATGGTTTTGAATCACTCAGATGCCATGTTGATTAATGTTGTAAAAAGAGCCCATTCACAAATTAATAAATCTGCATCCCAAAGAGGGTTTGAGTGGCACACAGTAAAAGGGTTCTGGGGCCGGATACTGAGTAAAGAAGACAAAATGGTATTCTGAATATCCGAACAAGCACTTTCCAGCTTCAGCAATGTATGAGACAGAGATCCAGGAAAAAAAAGGCATGCTCATAAAATTAAAGACTCTCATAAAACATACATACTAAGCACAGATAACTGACTTTGTCATTTCTTTGCTTTTTGAGTGCTTCACTTTGAAACATTAACATTCTTTTAATGTTTTCAATGTCATTTAAGTGAAGTTTAGTTCACTAATGCTCCTTTTGTCAACAAACATATTTTCAGGTTTGCTGCACTGCAACAAGCTCCCTGTGTCTCACTTAAAACAACAAGAAATAGTCCTTGCATGTTCTAAGGTTGACTGGCTCAAAAATTTCAACTTATATTAGCACTGCGCACTAGATTCATCAATTATTTTCCTCCTTTTTTGGTTGTAGGTTTAGCAACAAGAGAACAGAGTGGCCCATGTTTCAACCCACAGGCATTTGTCAAGGACAAAAAGGTCAGCAGGCCAAAACCGCCAGTTTTGTCTCTTTAAGACTCAAATTAGGCTTTTAGTGCGCACAAAGGACAATTCTGTCTCTGTGTTACTGGTTTGGGAATACTGCCAAAATCTTAATAGGCCCTACTTAACACAAAGACCTTCATATTCTGTGAAAACGTAGTAATCGCAATCACTGCAATAAGCAACCTACATGGGAACAGAAAGGGAGATGAACAGAATTTGGTTTTGCAAACACGCTTTTAGTACTGAAATGTTTTTACAACATAAATAGATACCAGAAGCACACAATCTGCATTCACAGACAGAAAGCTGTTCTGCTTGGGAATAGTTCACAGGCATTCTTGGGAGAAGGGAAATTTTAGTCAGTAAACTGGAATTCTCTTGCGTTCTTTTCCAGAAATGCCAAGAAGTCTTTAATGTGCTCTTAGTCGGCCTCCAGAGACAGATAAAAAGGACTTAAAGTCTCAGTATGGAACAACAGATGATATTCAGCTCACTAAACACAAGCTGGAGTTTTATTTTGTGGTTTTGAGTTTAAACTGAGATTTCTAACACGACAGCTAATCAGTACTGATAATAAACCTCCAACTTCACTTATGGTGTTCTCCAGGAAGTACAGATTGCAGTAGAAACATTAATATGTAAATGTTAGATACTGCCACAGGCTCTCTCAAATCCCTGAGGACAAATCCAGAACCAACAGGAGAGTGGATAGAAGGAAAAGGAAGGTAAAGTAGGGCTAAGGGAAAAAAAAGAATTATTATTTCAGATTACATGGGATTTTAGGCAAGAGTAATCCTTAAGGGATGTTGGGAGCCACCAAACATCACAGGTCAGCCTTCTCCAGAACTGGAATTCATTATAAGTTTCACCAATGCTTGTAAATAACATGCCTGTACAATGATGTGGCTAATTTGTCCTTAGCATAACTACAAAGGAATAAAGATTCACCTGGAGCAAGTATGAAAACGTTAGCTGGTATGGAGTCTTAAGTACAGCAGTTTCCAGTCGAATAGCTTGAGGTGACTGGCTGGATGTCTAGATTACCAAAAATAGTTTTCTGGACATTGAACTAGACTATGTCTCCTCTTATATGTTGGTGAAATAAATCCAAACAATACAAACCTGATGACTAGGATAGAAAAGACATTTCTTCATCTAAGTGAGATTTTGCAATGGCCATCTAAGATGCTTTTCTCCACTTCTTTCTGGGTTTTATATATATATATATATTTATATTTATGTGTATATGCACAAATGATCATACTATTAGATCCACTAAAAGCAGAAAAGTATCAATAATAATAAGATTTCAAGACAACACCCCAGAAAAAAAAAGGAAAAAATAGACCTACTAGCTCTCTAAGTGGTCACATTACCGAGTGTGATGGCCAAGGTTTAAAAGGAGGTGGAGCAAAGACTTGTCCTAGACAGTAAACTACAATTTTTGAAGGACAGTGAAAAGAAAGAGCTAAATTTGGCTTCAAAGGCTTGTAGACTTAAAATTGGACAGAAGCCATCTTAAAAAGATTCCATTTGTCAAATTACCACATTGTGGCATCACGTGCCAGTGCAAAGTTATTGCTGGCAAATGTCGACTGCTCCGTGATGATTCCTTCATCCTTATGAAATGCATGAATCATCTTTCAGGAACAAAAGCTGGTAAATCACATATTTATAGTCAATTCTAATCAGAAATGGATGAAAGGTTGCTTCCTTCAAAACTTTTCATCTTCAAATAAAAACTTCTGAAGATCAGTGAAATATGAAAATGGCAAATTAGAACACAAAGAGCACACTTAAAAAGATAATGAGGAAAGTTAAAGCACGCACACAAGCCACCGAGTCTTCCAGTTCTACTTCTCTGTAATGAGATTAACACAACTCCTGTGGCTGCCATCTCCAATCATCACTTAGATTATCAACTGGACTAGAGCCAAGGCTCTAATTGCTGCACAGAAGCAAAGCCCCTATTACAATAAATTTATTTAATTTTGTGTGACAGCTTAAAAGCTTTTCTCCACACAGCACTGGTTCTTGTACACAACTTTGCAGTCCTGTTACCTGTAACCATTTCTTTTCTTGAAAAAGCTGGTTTCGTTTTGTGGACGAAATCTGTATCCTCTCCTGATAAGTGGATCTCAAAAGTTTATGTTCGTTTTCGTGCCAAGGGTGAGTTTCTTCATGTCTAACCCTTTGAAAAAAAAAATGACAAAAGCTGAAAATCAGCATTATTGTTGAGTATCGACATCTCACAGATTAAACAGGTCAGAATGCTATGTTACCTTCTGAGTTATAACGCTCCATCACCAGAATGATTATATCTTAAGCAGATACAGTTAGAGAACAAGAGATTTTTCCTTGGCATATCTTCCTGTATTATCTCAAACATTTACACTGTTTTTACAACACGCTGAAGAAGGAAAAAGGAAAACTTGTATAGCTTCAGGCTTCCCCCAGCTTTTTCATATTTCAGAAATTTATCCATCACTGCCTTGAAAGAGACAAAACTAAGGCATGTAATTTCTATCAATAAAGAGTAAGATCTCTCTTAGACAGAAGTTTAGAAACTTGCCAAAGCCATTTTTGCAGCTTCTGTCAGCTTTTGGAGACTACATTAGAGATCATCTGGAGTGTTGGCTCCACGATGCCAAATTTTACTCCTCTCTTGCACAGTGAGTTCTTTCAAAATCGCAGTCAGTGGGATTCCTCACAGTGGTCGGTACAACACGCAGCTGTAAATCTTCGCATGATTGGACCCCAAGGTAATCAGTGCATTACACTAAGTGTCAAGTCTATCATCAGCCTCTCAGAACACACCTGCAAACAATGTAAACCTATTTTGTCTTGCGTGTTCCTGCATAAGGGCATGCGTGCTCACAAGGCCAATTGCATTTCTCTGTCCACCTCTAGAGACAAGTGCGTGCATTTCCACATAAAGCAACAGATGCGTTTCAATATCTTGTTTGAAAAAATACTGTCTCAAACAAAAAATGGTTTTGAAGCATGATTTCTCATCATAATCTTGCAAAGCGAATACAGCCATGCCACATATAAAACATGCATCACAAGTCTGGTTTAAGCATGATTAATCACACAGTTATGATCTCCATGCACAGCAGTAACAAGTGCGTAGAACAGGAGGCTCCTGTCTCTTCTGCAGGACCATCAGAAGACATGCATGCTTTACTCTCTCACTGTGGGCTGAAGAACGTACTGAAAAAGCAAAATAAACTCTGGCACTAAAATAAATTGCATTAATACTTAAAATAGATATGATGACAGTGTAACTGTATTTCTGTAATAACAAAATAGATCAAAGACACATTCGTATTACAAAGTGCTAGGCCTTACAATCATTATAGATTGCCGTGGCTCCAGTCAACCACACTTCCCAGCAGCTTTGAAGCTGCATTCTTTTAGTAAAAGCTGCATCTTTCTGAGAGTTGTGTGCAATAGAAATTTTGTGGCTGGTCAAAACTTAGGAAACATTCCACAATAAACCTAAGTTATTCTCAAAACCTCCTTGGAAATCCCATGTACATCTGCCTACTTGGTACTGAGGAAACAGAAATAAGATCTCTCTGATCTCACCACACTTGAGCAATTGCTCCTAAGCTAAACATAACCAAATCTGGCTTCTACCACCTGCCTCCAATGTCCTGTGTCAACACCGAATGCATTCACCTAAAAACTCATCTGATAATTTCATCAAGTAAACCAAAATTGAGGCATGAATTTCAGTCTCATGTATTAGACAACCTGCCATACACACTTTTCATTTAAAATGTTCTTTATTTGCAAAAAGATAAGACTGGTTAACTACAGCAAAACTGCAATGACCTGGTCTTCTGAGGCTAGTTTGATTATCTTTTTTAATTTTCCAGCTGAAAAAGGAAATCTTGAGTATATTGGTTTTGTTCCAATTCAAAATGAAAATAAAAACTGAAACCTATAAATTTTCTTGAAAAAGTTGTCATTTTTTCCAGCCTGTACTATCTAAAAATACTGTTGGAACAGAAAAATTTTAAACACTCCTATTGAAAACAAGAGTCAGACGACAAAGCGGTGTGAAAGGCTACAAGAATCAAGTGAGAAAAAGAAAGGGTGTCACAACAACAGTCAAACTCAAGCTCAAAGAAAGGAGTGTGCACAAGAGGATATTCATCTGACCCTGAAGAATGGCACTGCTCTCAGACCTGTGCAAAGAGAAGAGTTACAGATATAATCATCCAAAGAACAGGAACACTTATATAAATTTATATATAAGATATATTTTATATATAAAATATATTATATATACACATTATATAGAAAAAAACATAAGCAGACTATGTATTTCAAGGATGTTTTAGTGACTCAATTTGTGACACCAAAGACACCACCACATCTAAAGTCAAAATCATTATTACCAATTAATGCATAGAGTGAACACATCTTAATAACAAAATGCAGAATGTTGTATTCTAATCTTTAAGGTGAAATAGAGGCTAAAAATACCCTTAAAAGTCTCAAATTCTGCAACAGAATTCTATTTTCTGTAGTCATTTTATCTAATTTTCATGGATATCAAAAATTATACCCAAACGTACTGACTAGCACGCTGCAGCCTTTACGTGTACAAGCTGCCAGAAAACAAAAGGTTTTTCTCCTTTCATTTGTGCTACTGCTTTTGAGAATAGCTTCCAATATCTATGAAGAATCCTCTTACTTCTAACAACAGTAACCAGTAGCATAACTGAAGGAAGACTTAGAAATAGAGACAACTTTTTCTTCCTAAGCTAACTACCTCCCTTGGGCCATCCAACATATCGCACATTCCCCCTACCTTTGACGTTGCCATCCCTTCAAGAGAAAGCTGAGAATTTATTTTTGTGACTTTGTACAGTGCTGAGCACATTACTGCCACCTAACAAACGATGCATAAAAGGATGCTCCCAAAGATCTATTCATATCAAAAAAGAATCTGTTTTTATTTTATATTTAAATATCCTTTCATTGCCTGAAAAGGAGCATCAGAATTAACTCCACGGGGAACCGTTGCTCAAGCTGCCTTGCTGTTGTATGCTCAAGCTGCTGTGTCAAGGATTCAATTCCATTCCCACTCAACATCAGTGAGAAAAGTTTCATTTAATTCACCAGTTCATCGTGATCAATGTTTCTCAAGGCAATTCTGAAAGAATTATAGAAAGAAAAAAAGGAGGGCGAGGGGGATTTTCATAAACAAGCTCCATACTAATATGTTAGAAAGTCCTTAAAACTCTTTATTAAAATTATTCATAAATTTTATTCAAATATTTTGAGAAAAACAGAAGCATTTGTTTTACACAATAAAGAAGCAATAAACTTACTGATGATCGGCAGCCCAGCGCAATGCTGCTTGAACTTGGGTAACGAACCTATCCAAAAAACTGCTAATTGAAGGATGTCTTGAAGGAAGCTGAAATTTTAAAGAGTTTTTCTCTTTCTCCAGTTCTTCGAGTTTCCGTCTAAATTTATCGGCTAGAAATTCAATTTAAAAAAAAAAAGTTAAATTTAACAGCGACAAAAAGGTTCCATTTTACCTGAAGAAGAAAATAGGTCAATCGAAAAAAGTAAAATCCAGCTCACAGACAGTCCTTTCCCTTTCAATATAATACATTGGTTTGTTTTGCTCAAGGATGAATTCCTAAGAATACAATGAAAAGCATCAGATAACCAGGATGCTAAACTACTTACTTCTATGACAAGGAAAAAACTGCAGGCTTCCCAGCACTTTCACAGAGTTTTCATTTGGTAAGGCTCTAAAGAATTGGCTCAAAGTTCTCATCTATGCTCTTTCCTAGAGTAACAGCTCTGAATTCGATTCTAAGAAAACCTACTCTGCACTCCCTCCAGTTTTAAAACAATCTTAGATGGCAGTTATACGTTTAAAGTCTGATCTTTTCAAAAACTGGATTGTTGTTAGGTCGAGAGCTGAAGAATCACATATGATATCTCAGCAATATTTTCAGCAGAAAATGCACATGTAATTATAGCAATTAAACAATTCTCTTATTCCAGGTTCTCCTGAATTATGCTTACTTTATCATCCAACAAAAAGTTTTACTTTCAACAAAAACAATAGTGGTCCTTAATGCTTTGACTTTACCATAACTCTATAACTAATTCCTTAGAGTAAACAATTCTCTATATAAGCTAGTTCTTACTTGTTTTCTTTCCCTGTGTAGAAAACAAAGGAACATAGTTCCAAACCCTAATTATTATTTCTGGTACGTCTATTCTCTATAGTGCCAGCATACTAGCAAAATCACATACGTGATGGATAACAAGCCTGGCTTGTCCAAGCCAGAACAGCTTTGATGATACATTAGTCAAATCAGGGAGTTTTGAACTACCCACAAATGGAAAACCTTTACAGTTCAGTACTTTCCTCACAACCTCGTTGCCTACAATTTTGCATGATTATCATTCCTTCCTTCCCTTCTAACATTTTCAATACACGTTACTATCAAAATAACACCCATTTGTGCATGCTTTTAACTGCTTATTTTCTTTCTTTATCCTCAAAGGGGTTTTAAGAAGAGGGGTTGTTTTTCATTTAATGATTTAGTGAAATGATGCATTTTTACAATAATCTATCATTAGCATTGATCTCCCTTCTGTTTCTGTGCCAATGAGGTGGAATAAAAACACAGAACGTACTAATGAGACTAGATCTTCTCCCTAGGCTAGTAGACCTTTCCAGGGTAGTTACATTCATGTTGTTGTTAGGGTGCAAAATGCTGCCAGAAGGCTCCAGATGAAAAGATCACTACCCAAGTTACTGCAAGGTCCAGGCCTTGCCCCAACAACCACATGTACATGCGTGCATGTTCTTCCTGCAAATGAGAAACATAATTTCAGCAGTGGAGGTGAACCACATCTGCAATGAGTTTCTCAGGGATCACAGCTGAACAGGTTCATCCTATCCCTATCACTACAAGGAAACTGGAATTTGGACCCAGATGAGACTTCCGAGCCCGTACTTCAACCAGAAAAACGTATCAGCATTCTCATTTCATGTGGAATTTCAAACACAGTCATCAAAAATATCACTGTTACAAACAGAAAAGTGAGGGTTGGACTGCGACCAATGGCCACTGAATGTCAAAACACTTCTACCCAAACCGTTCACCATCGAGCTTCCCGTGTCACCCAAGCGGGAGTTGTGGCAACTCTCTACAGTCATTCAATGATGTCGTCATTGTTCTTCGACATAATTATGCTCACGCTGCATTTGTGTGTCCAGTTGTTTCATCGTTCTACTCCTACTCATCCTGGCCCTAGAAACAGGCTATTTTGAGTAGAAAAACAGATGAGGGGATTCACGTGCCAGTTCATTCTCATTAATTCTTGGCTGCATCCTGCTTTATATATCCCAGTCTGCACAGAATTCAATTAGTTTCTGCTAACAGACGTTTCTAAATAATTTGTTTCACTGACATTTTATAAGTACTATTGCTGGCCATATCTGCTCATCATCTCTCAGCATTAAATGTGGGTTTACCCTTTGAGCATTGCGGTTAGAGTTTACATCTCAAGAGGCTCTACCACCACTTAGCTGAACACTGCAGCACTTGGCTTTCAAGCTCCTCGCCTGGAAAGGAGACCCCCTCGGTTTGACCTGGTTGATGTTTTCAGTGCATGGAGAGACCAAGGCACCTCAGTGCCAGCTGTGGAGCAGGGAATCATGCAAGTAAGGCTTATCTCAGTCCAGCTTTCACTGCTGCAACTCAAGAGAGATCTGCATCAAGTAGAAGTAATGGAAATGATCACAAATCTAGCTAATAGCACACATGAAAAAGATGACAACAAGCAGGGTTCCTCTAGTGGAGATAAAGACTGAGAGGAGTAACTTCCAGTACTATTACATACCAGGAAGCTGCAAAGAAAGCAGTAATACAATGCTTTTCACCTCTCCTCAGAACTTGAGTCCTCAGCAACAAACCTGAGTTGCAACAAAGATGATGAGGAAAAACATTAGAGGTAACTGCTTGGGACTGCCAGGAAATCTCCACCAGTGTTGGTTTTCAGGTCAAACAGCTCTCAGGAACAGCTCTGGCACGGCTTTTAAGATCGGGCCAGTAAGATCAAATGTGCTCTCCTGAGATCCCTTCCCACCATATTTTCTAGGATTTTCCAGCCAAGAAGCAGACACAGGTGGCCTTTACTGTTCATAAGCCATCAGACTCAAGGACATTACTTTCTTTTACCTTCATTTTAGTCTATTAAGCACATTATTTCAACACAGAAAAGACTTTCACAGGATCCCCGAGCTCACTGATGGACTGAGACACCCAAAGAAACCCCATGCACTCAGATACCTCCACCACACAGAAAGCCTTAATATTTTTTTCCTCTGTCCCATAGTACACCTCGGAATACATCATTTAACACACAGCTTACATGCAAAAAGCAATCCTCCTGTTTGATGAAGTTCTTCAGTAGCAGAACTTTAACGTATTCGATACATATTGTTTTACAGACAAGCATTTGGAATAAGGCTTAGCTTTCTTTACCAGCCTTTTATTTCACTGTATTCTGTTGCTACCTTGCTGCCTTGCAGTAGTCCTACAGATAACCTAGATGAAGCTTCTACTTCAGTGCTAACAGCAAAAGTCAACCCATAAATTACCTTCCATCCCCTGGTGCACTCCAGATATCCCACTCAATTTAAAGCCAACCCAGAGTACAGGCTTGGAAGATGCTGACTGCTTCTCAATTAAACAGAGCACAGTCGGAGAACTGCATTTTCTCCAAAGATCATGTTTTGTAATAGCTTTGAGCAAAGGAAGCAATTTCCATAGTTTTTAATTGACCATATGAGAACATCTGGCTACCTCTCTGCTTTTTACGTATTCTGATATTGGTTTTATTCCCTCGAAGAAAAGGCTCACTTTATCAGAACTATTTCTCATCATTTAAAAAACATTTAAGAAAATCACCACAGCAAGGGTAGAACCTCATTTGCTACATACCGCATATATTTGTGTTTATGTCTGTTCTTTGTTGATAGGTGGGAAGACAATCAATTGTGGTATTCTATGAAGTGCTAGTCATTAAGGAAGTGTTACTTCCTCTAGTTCAACTAGAGAAGGCCATTTGATCCTGCCTCACAATCCTGCAAAAAAACGCCTCCCTCTTTCCTCACTTCCCCCAAAAATCTGGAGGATCTAAACCAGGATTTGTGCAGGGTTTACATGCGTAAATCACACATTGCAGTCTTAAAACCTTTTTTCTTACCTGCTAGATACTTCCAGAGTCAGGTAATCTCCCCAGCATTCACTTTCTTAAAAGCTTAAAGCTTCCATGATGACTGAAGTGGTTTTTTATGCTCAGCATCAAAAATATTCTTACCTAATTTGTAAGAACTAAAGAAGTCCCAGGTTCATATCCAAAGATCCCTCTTCTAGCAGCCTGTCTTCAACCGCACGCAGTAGCAGGGTGCAAAGTGCCCCTTTAGATTGATACTGCTCCTGAACCTCTAATGTTTGTCAGCTGAAAGACTTCCTGAGCAAGAAACTACTCCCAGATCATTTCACTGCTTTGAGAGGGAAAAGGAAAAGAAAATAAATTTAAAAAAATCACCAGTATGTGGACATCTATCCACCAGAAACTTCTCTTTTCTCAGACTGTCTATGTTTTTGGTCTCCAAAATATACTATGATAGAGAATTTCAAAACAGAATTATGAATTACATAAACATGTACCTCATTTGTAATTTTAAACCTAAAGTCTGATGATCAGATTGGGTGTTTCTTTTTTTTTTTTTTTTAATATAAATAAACCAAAACATTCCTCCTTCACTTTCCCTGCATGTTAACAACTTAGGCATCATGATGTTCAAATTGCACCACCCATTTTCCAGGACAGACTTAGATTAGCTACAGCAATGCCACAAAGCCTAGAAAGTGAGGAGTCTAATGCAGAGCTTGAACACGTGAGTGAAACACAGCTGGAGAACAGACTAGTAAGCAAGGTGCCTACAGCCCAATTACTAGCATTGTTCTGCAAAATTACTTGCAGGAAAACATGCAGACCAATTAATACCCAAATATTGAAACAGTACCTCTAAGAGAAGCAACAGAGAATGGTGTCTGAAGGATTTCTTACAGGGACTGCTCAAGCAGACTCTCTGCCTCCCAGCAAGCTCTGCATTTCCCCCCCATCAGTCCGCACCAGTTAAAAGCCAGGAAATTGCAGCATCCTTAAAAAATATATAACGCTTCCTCCCCCACCCCGATTTATGTACACTGATTTCTCATTGATAAGAAAGAAAAAGGAATGGAGAGACAGTAGACAGTTGATGTTGTCTGCAGCAGAGGAAGCTTGTGGCATCACATGTGACATCATGTCATCACTGTACTTTCTGGTTACTCTAATGCCTTGAGTTAGGCTGGAAATGTGGGAGACTTACTCTCTTGGACTCATCAGGTTACTAGTCTTTGAACTTCAATTAGCACCAGAAACCAGGGACAAAC